TAGGGGTTGATCTCATGTTTGGCAGCTCGTGGCGAGGATGTTGCCTGGACATGCCCCCCCCCCTTTTTGGTCTCCGCAAGGGAACGGCCAGCCACTCCCTAAACCCTAAACGCTAAACCTTAAACCCTAAACCCTAAACCCTAAACCCTAAACCCTAACCCTAAACCCTAGAAGCCTCGCGCCAGGCGGGAAGCATGACGCCTCACTCCTGCGAGCAGAGAGCTGGCTTCAAGACTTTAAAATTCCGGGCCCCCGAAGCCCCTACTAGCACCCGAAGGCCCACACCCCATGGGTGCGTATATAGATATATATATATATACACATATACATATATATATATATAAGGGTTTAGTTTAGGGTTTAGGGTTTAGGGTTTAGGGTTTAGGGTTTAGGGTTTAGGGTTTAGGGTTTAGGGTTTAGGGTTTAGGGTGTAGGGTTTAGGGTTTAGGGTTTAGGGTTTAGGGTTTAGGGTTTAGGGTTTGGGGTTTAGGGTTTAGGGTTTAAGGTTCAGGGTTCAGGGTTTAGGGTTTAGGGTTTAGGGTGTTTATATATATATATATGCCCGAAAGCTCTACTACAACGGGCTTTCAGGGTCTAGGGTTTGGGGTTTAGGTCTCTGGTTCAATTAGGTTCCCAGGGAGGGTGCCGAATCTAACCGATTCTTAAACAAAGAAAGGGAATTCGGGCCAGAATATATAATACCCCTTCGCACGCTCTATAGGGAATAACACTAAGGTACCCTAAACCCTAAACCCTAAACCCTAGACCTACACAGTTCCCCCGTTTGCTACCCAGAACTCGAAGGCTTCCATCGCTGGAGTTTCATCCCTGCCTTCAGCGACAGCTCCCGGTCCAGCCTTTCTTGTGCACGTCATGAGAAGGGTTTAGGGTTTAGGGTTTAGGGTTTAGGGTTTAGGGTTTAGGGTTTAGGGTTCAGGGTTTAGGGTTTAGGGATTAGGGTTTCGGGTTTAGGGTTTAGGGAGGCGCCATGGATGTGAAGTCTGTTTGCACTCGGAGATCCACTACCCCCCCCCCCCCACCCCCCACCCTGACTACCCCCTACCGCAAGCAAGGGTTTAGGGTTTAGGGTTTAGGGTTTAGGGTTTAGGGTTTAAGGTTTAGGGTTTAGGGTTTAGGGTTTAGGGTTTATTTAGGGTTTCGGGTTTAGGGTTTAGGGTTTAGGGTTTAGGGTTTAGGGTTTAGGGTTTAGGGTTTAGGGTTCTGCCTCTTGTTTTTGGGTAGGGGTAAGGGTGTGGGTACAATATAGGATCCCATGATGCTACCTGCCCAGAGCAGCGACAGGCCTTAACTCGGCACCGCAAACTCTAAACCCTTGGCGGTTTGGGGTTTAAGGTTTAGCCTTTTGACTGAAACCCTGAAGCACAAATCCAAACACTTACCAGGTCGCAAAACTCAGGCACCTGTCCCACTATACCATTGAATACGGTCTAAACCCTTAAACCTCAAACTACCCCTTGAAATCCAAAAACCACAAAACCAGTAAACCCTAAACCCTTGAAACCCAAAAACCCTGAAACTTTGAAACCCTTGCTCCTTAAAATCCATTGAACCCTGACCCTTTGAAACTTTTGGAAACCGAAGGCGTGGTAGCGCACTCATCCCGAAATCCTGCCGCCTCAGGGTTTAGGGTTTAGGGTTTAGGGTTTAGGGTTTAGGGTTTAGGGTTTAGGGTTTAGGGTTTAGGGTTTAGGGTTTAGGGTTTTTGGAATTTCGGGCTTGTTGGGGGGGGGGGAAGGGGGCTTTAGGGTTCGGCAGAGCGAAAGCCTCTAGTGGCCCCTCCAACCCTCGGAACTGAAGGGCTTGCCCCAAAACCCTAAACCCTAAACCCTAAACCCTAAACCCTAAACCCTAAACCCTAAACCCTAAACCCTAAACCCTGGAGATACAAGACCCCTTGCAGGGTCATCAGTGCTGGGCATCAAGCTGCTGTACAAGAGAGCCAGCCGTCGCGCGGCACCTGAATCAAGGATGCTGGCTACGCTTAGGGCTGAGTAGAAGATTTCCAAACGAGACCAATCACAAGGCAACAAAGAAGTAGTACTATTATCAGAAGTATAACAACAAAACTGTCCGTAAACATCGCAGTTTGTGGGCTGTTTAGATGGCGATGCTGAGTTTGGGCCGGGACTGGTAATTTTGAACAATAACTATATAATGATAGAAGTTGTATTACAATCAATATGAATGAATATGTCTATTATAGACACTATATAATTAGGAGTATGTTTTCTAGTATGCGACAACAGATGAACCTCTCAATACAAGCACAGAGTAGCTGGGGATTCTCCTAACTCTTGCTTGAATCCTACTTGTACAAACTTTCTGAATTCAAACCCACCCGATTTGGGACAACCTGCCACGAATGCGTACGAGAAAATGATGACAATGAGCGTCGTAGCAGCCCTCGCAGTTGTCGGAGAAGTCGTCATTGTAGTAGCATGAAAGGAGCAAAACTATTGGCAGTAGGAACCGTAGTCGCAGTGGTGGCAGTGGTAATCATGGTGGAAATCATAATAAAATGAAATACTACCATAATATATGTGTATATATAAATATATTCTTAGCAATATGATGCTTCAAAATACAATTTAACTGTACAAAATATCAAAAATCTAATATGATACCGCATAGTAGAATATACTCTCATAGAACTTGGGGCATAATATAACCTAATACAAACATGAGAAATAAATATCTAGTATAATCTAAAACAATACATTATTAATAGTAATTACAATAGTAATCATAATAACAACAACAATAACAATAATAACAATAATAACAATAATAACAATAATAACAATAATAACAATAATAACAATAATAACAATAATAACAATAATAACAATAATAACAGTAATAACAATAATAACAATAATAACAATAGTAACAATAATAACAAGAATAACAAGAATAACAATAATAACAATAATAACAATATTAACAATAACAAAAACAATAACAATAATAACAATAATACCAAAAACAACAATAATAACAATAATAATCATAATAACAACAATAACAAAAATAACAATAATAACCCAAACCCCTGGGAGGATCCAAAAAATAGATCCCCTTAAAGGCTCCTAAGAATGACCCTATAGCAGTATACGGTACTGTTTGGGGGTTCGCCTTTTTTTTGGCTCCTCCCAGGGGTCTGGGAATCATAATAAGGTGAAACGAAGGTATAATAACAATAATAACAATAATAATCATAATAATCATAATAATCATAATAAGAATAATCATCATAATAAGGTGAAACGAAGGTGGCCATCGAAGCTTTTGGGCCGCCGGGCCGGTCCAACATCGGCGGCAGCGCGGCCATGTCGAAGAGGCCGCGCCCCAGCCTTGAAGAGACTCGGCTTTGCTGGGGTTAGGGGGGGGGGTTAGGGGTGGGGGTTTAGGGAGGTTGGGGGTTGTTTTCAGAAGGGTTTTAGGGAGGTTTTAGAAGGTTTTGGGGGGGGTTTTAAAGGGTTTGAGGGGGAGTTTTAAGGGGGGGGTTAGGGGAGGGCTAGCGCGGGGTTAGGGCATCCTTCCCTGGGGCTTCACTCCAAAATGATACCGACTAATTTCCAGGGTGTGGGTGCACAGGTTGTTGCGGCATCGTCGGGCAAAGCAGACACGGCATTTTCCGGCTCACCACTTGGGAATGTCGTGAACAGCGCGTGCTTCCATAAGAGTCACAAAGACCCACAGCTCTCACGCCCACAATGGTGCCACTCCCAGACAATAATTTGGTCGCATTCGTATGATGCGTTGCGAGTCACATTCGCAATGACTTCATGCGTGCAGGAAACCAAAACCGAGCCCCATGTTTTGCCACGGCAGATGCGCAATGCACCGACCACTCCCTAATCTTACATACACGCTGAGCGGCAGGAACACAATAGAAGCGATGGCCCTACCGGTTGCATCCGTGGGCATCTGTGGCCATGCTCGAATTTGAAACACGACGTCAGGCATTTGGGCTGCTAAGTCACAGGAAACGAAAGGAGTCCACCGATTTCTTCCAAACCTCAGCCCTTGAATCAAAGACCCTGATCAACGCCCAAGCTGAAAGAAAGCAGAGTTGCACCAGCCAAGCTTAGAAAGCCATGGACTTGGATCGCAACAAGAACTCGCGGTGAAACGGGACACAGGCCCTGTTGCGTTCTCCCGCGCGACTGCCCGGTTTTGGCGAGCGCGACGAAGGAGGCGCTTGCGGCTCATCATCGCCGTGACACAGTTCCACCCAATATCACCCCGTGTCACCCATTGGTGTGGCGCCAAGGCAAAGACTCGATTCACATTCGTGCAGCTTGTGTATACTTTGTGTGCTTGCAACGGGCAAAGAGCTCAAGAGAGCAACCAGCAAAATGCTGTTCAGGCCAGAAACGAGTCTCCGCCTTGCCACAGTGGGTGCACAATGCACCGGCCACTGCTTTGCTTAAGCTCTTACAGGTGGCAAGAATCGCTGTAACGGGCTGTAGGCTGATTCTACACAGATAAACCCTAAACCGTAAACCCTAAACCCTAAACCCTGAACCCTGAACCCTGAACCCTAAACCCTGAACCCTGAACCCACTACATGTTACATGCCAGGCACTTGTGGTCCTGGTTGAACAGCATGACAAGAAAGCGGACATTGTGCCTATGATTCTGGCCAGAGCGGCGAGACATGAAAGACAGAGGACCTGGGCAGCCTTTTTTTGCTTGCCCTATAAATCCTGAGCCCTAAAACTGAAACTTGTTTATACATGAGCTCTGAAAAGCCCAGGTCCACAGCTTTAAAGGCACAGTTGGGCTCAAAGAAACTCCAAAGTCTGGAACGGGAAAGCTTGGGCCTTCGAAGCAACTACCGCAAAGCAGGGGATGCCTCAGCAAATTGAGTTCTTTCTGTTTGCTGCTGAACTGCCTGGTCAGTAGCCCTAAACCCTAAACCCTAAACCCGAAATCTCTTCATCGGTCCCTACATGCTGAGTACACTTGTCAACTCAATCACAAGATGAAGCACCTTCGGACTCCGGGCCCTCTCCGTCACTCGCTGGCCACCCGTCGATGACCGTGAGCTCGATACATGCCACATGGGCCTTCGGTGGAAATCGCGTCGGGTTGTGGGCAACAACGTGATACTTCACTTGTCCTGGGGTTGGCTCCTGTGGCCTGCCATGCACCAAGCCGGATCGCTCGTCGAGCGCTAGTCCAAGCGGAAGCTTCGGAACAACGACAAGGCAACAGCCTGGCGGGTGAGATACCAGCGGGCACAACACCACTTTCTGACCAACACAAATCTCGAGGCTGCAAGGCGTGTAGAAGTTGTTGTGCCGAAACAGCATAGGAGTCGCGGGCAGCATGGACAAGCTTGAAAAGTACGCCTCAACCTGGTTCAGGATCTTCATCAATCCTGCCAGACTGGCAGCATCGATCGTCGGCAGCTGGCTGTTGCCTCTGGCAAGTCTGCAAAGCTTTGATGAGGATGGTGCTAACGCTTTGCTTGACTTGCTGCGAATGCACCATCCCGTTAAAGCCTGTTCCTTTCCAAAACGTGTTGGCAAGGACCTGCTCAGATCTGCTTGCACAACATTTGGCAAGAATGGATAGCTTGCCTTCGATGCCAAATCATGACCCGTGCTGGCCACAGTTGTTGCCTCGCTTGAGGAACCAGAGCCAGTATTGGTTCGCTTGCGCGCGTTGCTTTTGTTCCCTGACTTACCACCTTCGTTCACTGTCGACACGGGGCACCCAGAGAGTGCAGTGACATCTGGGTCCTTCAAGCTTCGGCCGCTCAAGGCGGGCCTAGCTTCATTCAGACCACTCGAAGGACTGCTTGCGACATAAGTCATATTCCCATCCAGCAGGCACCGCAAAACAATCTAGATTGCAAAGCTAAAAACGACCTGCGTGCTTGGTTTCCGCGCCGGCGCGGAGATGCGAGCAGGTTGCGATTGATGCAGTGGCGCTTTCGGCCGTCGGCGTTTCGGTGAACTACTATCTACGAGTACAGCTTGGATCCGCTCTGGCCTCGGGCTAAAGAGTATCACAAAGTGTTTCAGGCACCTCGCACCTATCAGTTTGTTTGGGGGGTTTAGGGTTGAGGGTTTAGGGGTTCGGGGTTGAGGGTTTCGGGTTTGGGGTTTGGGGTTTAGGGCAGAAGGCCCTTCGCTTACACCCCCGCCTGGTTCCTCTTGTGGTTGGATCTAAGGCGGCCACCCAATTGGCCAGCAAGCGATGAACAACATCCTAGTCATTATAATGCACAACCGTGTCGTTGTTATGTTATCACTCATGACTGATACATGACGTGTGCAATGTGTCGACGGGCTTTCGTACCCGGGAGACAACTGATATCTCACTCAAAGATGATGTCATTCCTCTCAGGTTAGATGTATATCCTACATCGGCCGCTGAGGTCCAGACTTCTGCATCCCTATGACGTCGCCAGTCTTGCCGTCCACCACCACGCAAAGCATTGCCTGAGTATGCTGCTCTTCCGCACGGAGAAACCACGAATGATGCCACTACAACCTTTGCGGCCTCAAGATCAATTCGTTCGAATATCACTACTATTCTGATTACCACTCTCAGTACGACGAATTCCTTCTGCTAGCGATGAAAGGCACAGTCGACGATCTTTACTATACTCCCCTTAGAACCTCAATAAAAATATTTTGTTGTTTACATCCTCCGGGGTGTTCTATAAACAGAAATAGAAAAAATTCTCACGGGGGATATTTTTTTAAGCTTCGGCCAGAACCGGGACAGGCCACATCGGCGCAGACTTCCTCGTCCGAAGTCACATCCAGCAGGAAGATGTCCTGTCGATGCACAGCACGTGCTTACAAGCCACTCTCAGCCGCCCTCCGGCACCCCACTTAAGGCGGATGTGCGGGTTTTTTAAACGGAGCCTTTAGCAACCGATGCACTCTCTACCCGGCAGCCTGCTTAGTTCTCTACTCTTCCTCGCATGTGAAGTACCTGGTCGTGTCCTGAATCTGCGCCACCGTGACGCAGAGTGGCAACTTCCTCAACCTGGCAGGAACTTATCCTTGAAGTGTAGGCCCAACACGCCCAGAGAAGTAGTTGAAAACAGCCGGCAATACTTAGCCCTAAACCCTAAACCCCAAACCCTAAACCCTAAACCCTTAACCCCAAAGCCCGAAACCGAATCCCAAGATGCCCCCGAAGCCACACTGGTGCATTCTGAAACCATGCCAGGCTCCTGGAAAAAGCAAGTGAGGGCTGCTCTGAATCAGGGACCCTTTTTGAGCATCCCATCTTAAGGAATGCCCTGTGAACGACGCCCCACTAAGAAGGGCCCCTCATTGAAACGCTGTGCGCTTTTGGGGGAGTCTCTTCGGTCTTATTAGTTTAGGGTCTGCAGGGTTTAGGGGGTTTAGGGTTTAGGGTCTAGGGTCTAGGGTCTAGGGTTTAGGGTTTAGGGTTTAGGGTTTAGGGTTTAGGGTTTAGGGTCTGTAGGACGAGCACCAGGTGCTCCCGAGGGGCGGAAATCTCAACCCAGCTTCTGGCCGGTCGTCGACCTGGGAGGGAATCAGGGTCTGGGGCTTTGGGGTTTAGGGTTTAGGGTTTAGGGTTTAGGGTTTAGGGTTTAGGGTTTAGGGTTTAGGGTTTTGGGTTTAGGGACTTCGGGGTTTGAAGGGTTCGGGGTTAAGGGTTTAGGGTTTGGGGTTTCGGGTCTGGAGGTTCGGGGTTTCGGGGTTTGGGGGTTAGGGTCTGGAGCTTTGGGGTTTGGGGGTTCGGGGTTTAGGGTTTAGGCTTGGGTTTGGGGTTTCGGTTTTGGGGCCTGGGCTTCAGGGTCCAGGGCCAACAAATAATGCGAGATGAAGGCGAGGGTTTATAGAGCTTCGGGATTTCGGAACTTTACAGGGTTGTCTTGTAGGCTCAGAGGGCTAATACTGATTTAGTGCAGAGGGTTCATTCTTTCGGGTTTAGGGTTTCGGAGTTTAGGGTTTATAGGGCTTAGGCCCTTAAAAACAGGAGCCCCCCACAGCATTTTGTCCCGACGTTCCAAAACTGTGCGGGTCTTGACCCCCAGCACCTAACTCGAAGCCCTGAACCCTGGGTTTCAGGGTTTAGGGCTGAGGATTTAGGGTTAGGGTTTAGGGTTTGGGGTTTTGGGGCGGTTTAAGGCTCCAGAAATTGTGCGCCTTGAGCTGCACGTCCTCTCCCTCTTCTAAGGCCTCGGTCACTTCCACCTCAGGGGAAGACGTTGCTCTACGCATACTGGTTCTTGGGAAGGAATGAGGGAGTCGGCATTGGGTACGATCCCCCTATATACACCCTTTAAGGTACCTAGTTCCCTACTAAGAACCCGTACATATATACTAAGTCATAACATTGATTCTGCGTCCCTACGATGGCAACTTAACTGCCTTTGCCCTTTAAACCCCTCTGGGACATATTCCTAAATATCACCCGCTTAACCGAAAAGGAGTATCGGCCGAGACCCCAAACCCCCAACTTGCCCCCGACCCCAAGCTGTGAACCAAAAGCCCTTTAATCTGGAACCCTAAACCCCTTGCCCTGGATAAACCCTAAACCCTAAACCCGAAACCCTAAACCCTAAACCCTAAACCCTAAACCCTAAACCCTAAACCCTAAACCCAATCTTTCAACCCGTACGCCCTGAACCCCAAGTGAGCCCGGACCGCACCGACCAAACCCAAAACCCTAGACCCCAAACCGACGGGCGTCAGGAATGTCAGCGTGCCCCGCCTTTGGCAAGGCTGTTTCACTCAGAACGGCGCACAGCGCCAGGGAGATAGAGTCCTGTTTTGCATTCAGGGATTGAAGGCTTGAGGTTTTCGGGGCTTTGAGGGTTTACGGTTCGGGCTTTAGGGCTTAGGGGTTGAGATGGCAAGGGCTTTAAGGCTCAGAAAATCCTAACCCCCCTAAACCTTATAAGCCTTTGTGCGTTTAGGGCTTTAAGATGTGGTTCGAATTTTGCTTCACGCGTTTCGACCTTCAGGGAAGGTGCCGGGCTTGGGGTGCTGGGGTCCACTACCCGAAGCTCTCAACCCTCAACCCTGCAGCCTGAAGCCTGATCCTAAACCCTAACCCTAAACCCTGCATTTTCTCCAGGAGGTTGCCACCGGATGTCAGCACCAGGACGTCCACGTGAACCTCGCTATGCCCGGAATCCACAGGTTCTTGGGCTTAGGGCTTAGGGCTTAGGGTCTAGGGTCCAGGGTCTAGGGTTTAGGGTTTCGGGTTTAGGGTTCTGGGTTTAGGGTTTAGGGTTTAGGGTTTAGGGTTTAGGGTTTAGGGTTTAGGGTTTAGGGTTTAGGGTTTAGGGTAGGGGCTTATAGGGCTCAGGGCACGGCACGCATTCGGCCCAAGATTTTTTTTGGGTTGGGACTTTCGCGAATTTAGGTTTCAGCCCGAAACCCTAAACCCTAAACTGAACGCACAACACCATGTTCGCAATCTTCACATGGGCACTATTAACAACAAGTCTGGCCGCCTGCATCCGCGACCCGGGCCGGCGCTTTCTGGTTTCTCCACACCCCCTTCAAAACTGTAGTACTTTTGGGTGGTACATAAACAGAAGCCAGAGATACCTCAAGAGAAGAAGTGAGTTTAGGACCCGAAACCCCAAACCCTAAACCCTAAACCCGGGTGTCTGATCACACGCCCTGCGCCGCGCCTCCCATGCGAAGACCCCGGAGAGAAGGCACAGAGCCTGTCGGAGCAAATGCAAAGTTTAGGGTTAAGGGTTAGGGTTTAGGGTTTAGGGTTTAGGGTTTAGGGTTTAGGGTTTTTTAGGGTTTAGGGTTTAGGGTTTAGGGTTTAGGGTTTAGGGTTTAGGGTTTAGGGTTTAGGGTTTAGGGTTTAGGGTTTAGGGTTTAGGGTTCAGAGGGCGAAAACGAACGCCAGATAGCAGTTGTCCTGATGCCAGCTCCTCAAACAACATGAAACCCTGCATCCTGAATACCCGACAGACTACCCTGAAACCCTCTCAAAAAGTGCAAGGCACACTGGCGCTAAGGGCTTCGACGATAGGTTCTTCCCTTTAGGGGGCGGGGGGCTGGAGGTTTGAGGAGTGTTAGGGGGTTAGAGGTGCAGGGGTTTAGGGTTTAGGGTTTAGGGTTTTAGGGTTTAGGGTTAAGGGGTTTAGGGTTTTACGGGTTTACGGGTTTACGGGGTTTACGGTTTGGGCTCTCAGCTTCTCTGTGAAGCGTCGGGTTTTCGGGTTGACTCAAGAAAGTCAGGGGCCTGAACCCTGCACTTTGCCCGTAACCCTAAACCCTAAACCCTAAGCCCTAAACCCTAAACCCTAAACTTTGCTCTATATCTCTCCCCCCTCCTCCCGACTCAAACTCCGAAGCACAGCATGAAGGCCCCCACAGGCCTTCCGATCAATGATGCCTCTTAGGCGCTAGCACACAACCGAAATCCACCGACTGAACCCTACCACCCTCAGCCCTATACCCTAAACCCTAAACCCTAAACCCTTAACCTAAACCACTGCGCGGCCCTGGACGGAGGGGCTTTGGGGTAAGGGGTTTGAGGTTGAGAGTTTAGCGTTCAGGGGTGTTTGGGGAAGTTTTGGGAGGGGCTTAAGAGGTTTCAGAGTTGTAGGGTCTTAGGGGTTTGAAGGGGGTTCGAGTTTGAAGGTTTTGGGACTAAATACAGTTTAAAGAGGTTCGGGAGTTTAGGGCTTGGGGCTGATAATTGCAGATTGGGGTTTGGGGCCTTATGTTAGAGGTGTTAGGGGTTTAGGGTCTTGCGCCAGGGTCTGGCGCTTGTGAGTCTTGGGTTCAAGGTCTACCGGTTCTGGGTTTAAGGTTTACCCTGAACCCGAAGCCCTGAACCCCAAGCCCTAAACCCTAAACCGGTTTAGGGTTGAGGCTTCAAAGCAAAGACTAGGAAACACTGAGACAGCTGCTTTGGGCGCCGGAAAGGTGTAGAGACTCTAACCCCCTAAACCTTCATATGGGATTCGGCTCCGGGCTTTAGTGCTTAGGGTGCAGGGCTTAGGGCTCAGGGCTCAGGGCTCAGGGCTTAGGGCTTAGGGCTGATCGCTTAGGGTCCCTAAACCCTAAACTCCAAAATCCTAAGCTCGCGACCCCTAAGCCCGAAACCCCCAAGCGCCCTAAACCCTAAACCCTTCGTCTTCCCCCAAACCCTGAACCCTAAACCCTGAACCCTAAACCCTGAACCCCCCTGAACCCTAAACACGAATTCAGCCAGGATGCTGTCAGACGTGCACAGCGTCTCCTTGACCAGGCAGCTGGGCTTCATTCAACCGGCCGGGGGTCTGGGTTTTTTTAGGGTTTAGGGTTTAGGGTTTAGGGTTTAGGGTTTAGGGTTTAGGGTTTAGGGTTTAGGGTTTAGGGTTTAGGTTTCGGTTTCAGGGTATTAGGGTGGAACGGTTTGAGGCTGGCTTTCGGGCTTTAGGCTGTTCGGGGTTTAGTCAAGCTCCCTGGACAACATAAAGGCTGAATGACTGATCCGATTTGCTTCCCAGCGGCCAAGAGCACGGACAAGCGTTTGCCCCAGTCCTGCACAATGGCAGCAGCTCATTGACGCGCAGAGGCCACATGGGGGTTTCCGAAATTAGGGGGGTACCTTATCAGGGTCCTAATTATAAGGGGATGATACTATTGGGGGGTTCATATTGAAGGTCCCCTATCTTCGTAAACTCCCACATGCTGGTCATACAGCAGATCTTCAGAGAACGCTTCGTCTTCGTGCCGGTGTCCGACCTATGCGACTTGAGGGACACCTGATGTCCGAAATCTACAGAAAAGTCTCACGGCAGTCTTACCCACCCCTGCCCGCCTAGAAATGGAAGAGCTGGAATGGGTTTAACCCTAAACCCTAAACCCTAAGCCTAAACCCCTAGACCCTAAACCCTTAGACCCTAAATCCTAAACCCTAAACCTAAACCCTTAACCCCAAACCCGAAAGCCTATAGCCTAAAGCCCAAACCCCGAAATCGGTGGCCCAGCTGGGCTGCCTCCGCACTGCTGCTCTCCGCGAGGGCGACCGAGACAGAAGGCGCACATTCCACAAACACCTTAGGGTTAGGGTTTAGGGTTTAGGGTCTAGGGTCTAGGGTTTAGGGCTTAGGGTTTAGGGTTCAGGGTGGAGTTTCGTGATTTGGGTCCCTGTGACTGCCAGCACTCTTGACACGCGAAGAAACTCAGAAACGAAGGTAGTTGCCAGGGTTTAGGGTTTAGGGTTTGGAGTTTAGGGTTTGGGGTTTGGGGTTTGGGGTTTGGGGTTTGGGGTTTGGGGTTTGGGGTTTGGGGACTTTTGACATGCGATGACCCGTTCGAGCCTAGGTGAGCGCCTAGTTTGGACGGGTGCCCTCACCATCCCTCACCTCCAAACCCTAAGCCCCTACACCCCTCAACCCCTAAAACCCCTAAGCCCCGAAGCCCCTAACCCTAAACCCTAAACCCTAAACCCTAAACCCTAAACCCTAAACCCTAAACCCTAAACCCTAAACCCTAAACCCTCAGCCGGGCAAGCCCTGAACCCGACAGCACCTGGAAGTGCCCTGCGTCTGGCCGCAGTCGGCCTGGTCTCACCACGTCGCCTCAGCTTTCAAAAAACGCGCTTAGGGTTTAGGGTTTAGTAGGGTTTAGGGTCTAGGGTTTAGGGTTTAGGGTTTAGGGGTTGAAGGGACGACGATGACAGGGTTTACGTAGGGTTTAGGGGCTTTCAAGTTGAGGGTTGAGGGGCTTAAGTTTTGAGATTTAGGGTTTAGGGTTGGCCCAGAACCCGTCTTGAAGTCCTAAACAATCGCCTATAACCCTCTCAACCTTAAACTCCTAACCCCTACACCCGAAGCCCTATATCTACTCCCCAAGCCCGAGACCCTTAACCCCGGGCGCTAGAGGCCCAAACCCCCCAAACCCCACCGACGCTCTTCGAAAGAAGGACTGGGGCTGGCGCATTTGACCGTCACCTTGGCTGCAGTTCAGGTCCATGTACATATATATATATACCTTCTATTACCCCTACTTTGTAGGGCGCCCCTTGATAATCCCTAAACCCTAAACCCCTCTCATCCCAGAGCTCGAGCTTCCCTCAAGCCCCAGTCGCCAGCAGCTCCGTCTCGCCGGCGCGCAGGCGCGCAGAGCTCGTGGCGGTGGGCACGACACCCAGCTCGAAGGTGACCTGAGGTTTTGCGGTTTTGGTTAGGGTTGAGGGTTGGGTTTAAGGTTTTGGGTTATAAGGTTTACGGTTTAGGGTTTAGGGTTTAGGGCTT